AGGCATCATCACAGTATGGTGAGGGGCGTAACATTTCCGTCACACGCTTGAGGAATTTGGCCAATCACAACGCACTGGATAGCTGGTCAATCAGAGCACACCTCGCTTTTCAGACCGATTAGTTTTGTAAAAATCGACGCGTTTCAGAAAGGCGGGGCATAGAGGAGAAACAATAATGTACAGTATGTGGAAAATAATGTGTTTTTTTAACCTTAAACCGCATAAACACATTTCATTACACCAAATACACAAAATAATGTTCTTTTTAGCAGCATCATATGACCCCTTTAATCTTTTATACTCTTCTACTATAATGAAGTCCTGAAAACATACCATCTCCTTCATCAACCACAGCCTGAATCACCATGGGAAAAACACCTCTGTCCAAATCAAAGTTGAGCTAAAAAAAGAAGAGAAATGCATCAAGTCAAATAATTTAAATTTTCCAATGTCAGGACATTTTCATTTGATTGGATTTGCTTGATCTTGCCCTTCATTATGTGCAAACTAATTAATGCTAAAGGTCAAATTAATATCTTAGAAGCCAGTATGGATTTGACCATCAGAGGAGAGTGACAGCACTGAACTAGACTCAAGGTACTTACATCTTCTTCATTCCATTCAGAGAAATCGATCTTGAAGGATGGCAGCGTAAACTGCTGGCTAACCCCTCTTTTGTAATATACAGTTTCAGAGACTAATGCAGGGGTTTTCGGGCTGTATCTTAATAAGACAAATATATTGTTAGTGCAAAGATATCATAACCACATGTTTATATAATGCCATTCAGTTAGTTCAGATGATAATCATTGCATTTACAGAACTTTTTCATATGTAAATGTATTTTCTCTGTGGCTCAGTGTGCTCTAGTGACTGATTGCAATTACTAAGCTTTTGCATATGCATAGCTTTAACAATGAACTTTCAAAGTAAAACGAAAACAATTGCACAAAAGAGTTACTCAAAAGACTTATGTAATCGCTTTATAAACTGCTATTCTTACACTACAAACTAATTGCTAAAAGACCCAGAATATTTCCATGTTCACAAATGATTGTTTGTTTTAGATCCCCACCATTATATAACAGACAATTACAAACAAATAACATGATATGAGCTTTAATATTACATAATCACTTTAACATTGATAATAAATTGTAATGGTATCAATAAATGGTTGTAAACATATTGTTACTGAATATGACAACACTGATTTAACATGGATAATGGGGACTTTGTCACATTTGAAGTCTATTTTCTAAATGCATATTATAGATCTTATTGTGAACCATTCATCCATGCATATGTTTTTTGTTTTGTTTTTTAGTTTTTGACCTTGTAATGTTTAATTAAAATGTCATACTCATAATTGGACCAGTAGAACTGATTCCAGTAGAAAACGAATTCTCTCTGGTGACCTATGACGTCACCAGATGACGTCTCCAATCATTTAGTGCACTTAAATCTAGGGATTGTAACGATGTGATACGATTCACGATACTGATTTCACAAAACGATTGTCTCACTTTTTTTTTTAACAATGAAATTTAAGACAAATTATGAATGAAAAGGTGTCCTTTTGTATTGCTTGGACAAAATGCTGCACATTTCTTGTAAAATTAATGAATAATACAAATAAAAGAAATCTCTGCATATAAAGAAACTATGGCTTTGCCTGTGCTCTTTCCATTTAAAATTAGAGGCAACCACTGTATTTTAATCATGAAACCAGAGAAAGATGCTGCATACATGTTATGTAGATTTGAAGAAATCTGAAGCAAAAACAGAATGGTCTGACTGTAGTTTTGTGAAACTTTACTACATGTCTAGATGAAGCAAAAACAGCAGATGGGCTGAATGAAACGCAAATTCACTCTGACAGCAGGTGGCGCTTTTATGGAAAAGCAGCGATGCAGCGTTTCCTTGGTTACCGATGTGCTGCGCTTATAAACACTACTTTAATATGCATTATACAGACACAAGATGAAAAGAAAATACCATCTAAACTTTTCTGAAGACCTCAGAGATACATTCATATCAACTCCCACCCCCAACTGTATCGAGATTCGTTTAACATCTCAACCGATTTGAATCATCACATATTTGTATCGATTTTCAACAGGCTTGGGGTGCAGTGTTACATTCCTACTTAAATCCACCCCTGCAAGCTCAAGTTCATCTGCCTCCACTTTTGACAGCAACGCCCACATCTCAAAATCCAATCGACAATCAATGCATAGAACCAAGTTCACACCCTACATGTTTTCTTTGTCCATAATGGGTTTCACTCAGACGTACGTCACAATATGAAAAAAAGATCTGTTGCTACTTTCATTTTGTAGTGACATTAAATGTATACCTGTTCAAACAACATTAAACATGTAACTGTCCTTACAATGCCATCCCATTGGAGAACTCCTCAAAAGCCTGGCAGTAGATAGTGATGGCCACTCGTGCATCAGAGTCAAAGGTGAACTCCACTCCATATAAGGCCCTTGGTTTTGATCCTTCATCAGTAGGAGTATCAGCGTCATCTTTATACCTATAATCACACAAATTGACATTGAAAATGCAAAATTACTTAAAAGCAAATACATCAATAACAGAACAAAAGTGACTACATGCAGCACAGAGATCATTTGTTCTCAGGATATGAATGTTTATATTTTATATAGTAATCCTGAATCAGTACCTGACCAATCGTAATGAGTCTTTTCTGATGTTGACAAGACTTCTCAATGTCTTGACTGGCTCATGGGGTGCCGGAGTAACATAGGGAAACTGTGGCAGGTACCGCACGTGAAAAAAATAATAAAATAAAGGAAAATTTAATATTAATATTTTATTCAGATTTTTATTTATCAAATGCTTTTATCTAAAGCCAACACAAGAGTTCATCAAAAAGAGACAACAACAGTGGAAACATCACAAAACCAAGTCTCAAAGCTAACAACACAATCACAAGGCATTCAAAATTCAGCTGTACCTGCACTGGGCGGTTACCAAGAAAGTTGAGATCCATGTTCTCTCCAAAAAGGAAACCCTCTGGATGAGGAGTGTCAAACTTCTCTCCTCCCATGAAAAAATGGCTGGCAAAATAGTTTCCTTGGGGAAAGAAAATAGCCATTATCCAATCTGACACCTCTAACAAAATGTATAAACAGAGTAACACCATCAGTGAAGGCATTCTTTGTCATTTTGCCATCGTTTACACTGGTATTAAACTTTGTACATACTAATCCGGTTTCATATGGATTTTAACTACATCATTTAATCAGTTCGTTGACAGTATGACCTTATTAGATAAATGTTTAAAATGGGAGCTTATCTGAGCTCAAAGAATCAGTCTATTAGAGATGATAAGTGTTATCAACTAGAAGGCAAGAGCACATAAACGTCGCCTTCTATCACAACAGTCCATCTTACCTGATTTTGGAGGATATCTGTATGCAGAATTGGCCTGGATGTCGATGTCCTCAACACCAGCGATTCTTCGACTAAGAATTGAACCCATTTCTCCAGCACAGTCCGATCAGAACAAACTAACTTAGCGGTTATTATATGTATACAAAACAGCAACACGGCTGGTTAAGTAAGCTAACTAGCTAACCTTAGCCGCGTAAAAACAGCAACAGCTCCGAAACGAAAAAGTGTTCAAATTAACATGACATGTGTTTGATCGGCATTTCTTTTCTTCTGAGTCGGATCAGATGTGTCTCGTACAGTCGTTTATGTAATGTTCAGTTCAGTCAGCCGGATCAGTCTCGACACACTGGCTAACTAACTGACTAGCAAGCCCGCCAGCACCTAGCTAGTCACGAACTGGTACTCAATAAAACAAGAGGTGAACAGGCATATTAAACACACTAAAGTAAATTATAAAAAGGAAGACAAAAGACCTGCAGATAATTTTGTCCGTGGTGTTTTCCCCAAATAATAATTGCCGTTTTTTTCGTAAACACAACACAAGGAAATCGTTGTTCTTCTTCTTCTTCTGTGGATTTATTGGCGGGTCGCATACCAGCTTTTAAGGTGCATACCGCCACCTCCTGTGCCTCCTGTGCAAGTGATTTCAGTCTAGGCATATATTATGAATTCTATATGCTATTCTTAAGTCCACTATTCCTAATGAATTTTAAAATTGTCTTTATTATTTTACCACATCCTTGTTTTGTGTTTAATATGTTGCAAATTGAAAATTCATTACATCCTAAGTTCTGTAATTCTCTTTGTAGTTCATTCCTTTCCTGTTCATACCTAGGACAGAGTAACAACACATGATCAACTGTTTCCTTTACTTGGCATGTTTCACATAATCCAGTACTGTGTTTCCCTATTATATGAAGTGTAGAATTAAGTTTTGTATGACCCATCCTTAGTCTTGTTAAAATGACCTGATCTTCTCTACTTAAGTTCAGTATCATTTTGCTTTGACTTACCCTGTTTTGTATATTATAAAAATGTCTTCCTGTTTTACAGTCATTCCAATTCCCTTGCCATTTCCAATTGCAAGCTTCTTTAATTATACTTTTCCCCTCCATCCTGCTTAGTGAAACTGAAATAGTAGGAGTATGCAGATTAAGTGACTCTTTAGCCATTTTATCAGCTTTTTCATTTCCTGGTATATCAACATGCGCTGGAACCCAAACAAAATTAACTATTATTCCAGCATTTCTTAATCTATACAATATATTCATTATTTCTATAAAGATATCATATCTAACAGTTTGAAAAGTTTGAAGACTGGTAAGTGATGCCATTGAATCTGAACAAATCACTACCTTATTTGGCATCACTTCTTCTACCCAACTAAGTGCCATTTGAATTGCCACCATTTCGGCTGTGTATACTGATGTCCCATCCGTTAACCTTCCATATTTTCCGATTTTAAATTCTGGAACATAGAATGCAGATCCAGTACGACCTATTTCTGGGTTTCTTGAGCCATCAGTGTATATTGGCAGAAATGCATAATAAACTTTTCTGATATATTCTGTTGAATGGGCTTTGATATCAATGTCAATCTGTCCTTTTTGAATATATTCATGAATTTGAAAATCAACTTTAGGTTGACTGAAAAACCAAGGAGGTATTGGGGAAATTGTAACTGTTGGTGAAAATGTAATATTATTTAGTGACATTTTTGCAGCCCAATCCTTTACTTCCCATGCAAACCCTGTTCCTGTTAAGTTCATTGTCTCCCAACTCCCCTCTAATATTGATTTTGTAGGATGATCTGAATTATGCCCTTGTAAATTGATCCAGTAAGCAACAGATAATTTTTTACGTCTTATTTCTAATGGGGACTCTCCTGTTTCAACTTGCATTGCTGAGATTGGAGTTGTTTTAATTGCACCTGTAATACATCTCAAAGCTCGTGCTTGAATAAGATCTAACTTTTTAAGCATACTGATTGAGGCAGATCCATATATAATACACCCATAATCTAAAACAGATCGTAGAAGTGCACAGTATAAGGTGCTCATTGATTGTTTATTTGCCCCCCATTCTTGGCCTACTATACATCTCATTAGATTTAGTACTTTACTACATTTCTTTTCAATGTAGTCAATATGGATTTTCCATGTTAATTTAGAATCAAACCACAGACCTAAATATTTAAATTTTGTTACCCTTTCTAATGGTTGTTTATATAAATAAAGTTTAATATTTTCTGCGATCCTTTTTTTTGTAAAAAACTGACAACACGTTTTGGATATAGAGAATCTGAATCCCCATTCCACTGACCATTTCTCTACGCCCTCTATTGCTTCCTGAATTTTATGTACAATATAATTAACATTTTTCCCACTCTTCCACATTGCTCCATCTCAGATTCTCTATTTTTTCGTTTGTTTGATGCATCTGGTACCTGAGACCATCCCTCACTATCAATTATTGAAGAATCATCTTCATCATCCATACTACCTGCATCCATCCTCTCCAGTCTCAGCATAGTTGATGCTAACCCGCCAAACCAGAAGCTGCTCCCTCCCCTCTCCTCTGTAAGCCAGGAAATCGTTGTTACGAGGCGACCCCGGGAGGGTTGTAGCATATCACCACGTGATTGGCTGAGCTCGTCACGAGACGCGTATGCTCGTCCAATCAAAAGAGCACAAGCTTCTGCGATTGGCTGAGCTGACCATGAGAAGTCTGTTTTCATCTAGTCAAGAGAACACAAGCTTCATTTGTCATCTCACTGATACTAGACAATAATATATTGTTGATAACCGAAAAGATCTGTAATATCTATAAATATAGGTATAAAATATATAAAAATCCACAATGATTGGCAGCAGTGATGCATTGCTTATAGTTAGAGTAAAATGACCTTATTTATGAAATGGAGGGATATTTCCTTGTTCAGTGGTCAAAATATAACTGAAATCACACTTGTTATTGTCTATCAATAAAAAAACGGGGACAATACATTTTGTATGTTGCGGGTTCCATATACTATTATTATTATTATTATTATTATTATTCATAATAATTATTATGATGTCTGACCCTAACTGGTTGTAATACAATTCACCAAAAATCACACTACGAAAAACAGTAAATAGTAAGCATTTCAAAAAGCAAAGACATCAAAACAGCTTTATAGTGTTCCTGTGGCTCAGTGATAGAGCATTGCGTTAACAGCGCAAAAGGTCGTGGGTTCGATTCCCAGGAAACACACGTACTGGTAAAAAAATGTATAGCCTGAATGCACTGTAAGTCGCTTTGCGTCTGCTAAATGCATAAATTTAAATTATATTATAACATGACTTTACACAAAACAAAACACATTACAAAAATAAAAACAAAATAAATATGAGAATGAATGGTAAATAAAACTGTATCTAACAAATATGTTTAACATGTTCTAGTTGTATTTAATGTTTCCATTTTCACAAACTGTGAATAATTACAACTTTAACTTTTTAAATGTTATTTTATGTTTATGCTTTTTGAACATGGATTTTGCTATTTTAAACTAGGCTTATTGCATTTTATTGCATTCTGAGCACAAAGTATGTGCTTTCTTCAAATATAACTCTTGCAAGTGTAATTGTTTATTTATTTAGCCTATTTATACCCACGTTTTGAAAGCTGTATGAGCTCTGTATATATATAT